CTGTGCAGTAAGAACGGGAAAAACTCAGGGGAGTGCTTTTGGGGGATCTCCAGCGATGTGCAGGGATGAAGCAATGCTGTTCAGCGGGAAGGTGCAAACAGTATGGTGCCGGCATCCTGGCAAGGTCCCCTGACTTCATCACAGCATAACAGAGAAACAAAAAGGGAACCAGCCATATACAGAAAGACCAGGTGAGTGGGTTGATCTCAATTTAAAAGCTATTCTTGTGAGAACTAATGTAGTCATAGATAACCTAACCCACTCCTTTAAAACAACATTAACCATTCATGAAAGCAAAGACATCATGTCCTAATTATCTTCCCTAAGCTCCACTTCTTAAAGTTTCTGCCATCTTCACATTGCCATACTGGACGCCAAGCTTCCAGAACATGGATCTTTGGGGGTATAAACCACACCCAAACCATAGCACAGGCCAAGATTTGAACTCAGGTCTGAAGGCCCCATAGATTACTCATAACATACCAGTAAGCATTCTTTGACTTATTGCCTCCTATTGTGAATCTCACAGAGGCCTCCCCCTTCTAACTCTACACTAAGTACGGACTTCTTTAATACTAGTACACTTGTTAAGAACCTGGGCTGCCCACTACCCTCCCCAGCCAGGGCCTTATAGGCAAAGTTACTCTGATTCCAGGGCTAGAAGTGATTCAAACTCTCCTGTTTCCCCATGAGAAGTGTCTCAGCCTCTGCCTAGCACAATATAATCTCCACAATTCACAACCACATTTGACAAGAGCTTGGAAAATCTTCCTCTAAAGCAGTGGTTGAGACATAGAGAATTGGCATGAAGCCTCTGCACTTTAGTTTCATGACTAAATTTGCTATGCTCAAACCTATTACATTGAAATTACCATAAAATTCACACTCTTCCAATCCCCAGAAGTGACTATTTTATTTAGAAGTCAGTGAGCAAATTGATGATTTCATAGGCCCCTGTGCCAAAATCTTAGCTCAGTATTTCTCAAATATTTTGTTTTCAAGACCTCTTTGTACTCTTAAAAGTTGTTGCAGAGCCCAAAGAACTATTGTTTATCAGAGTTGTATCTATCAATATTTACAATTTAGAAATGAAAGCTGAAAAAAATTGAAAATATTTACTTAAAAATAAAAAACAAACATTCTACATGTTAACATAAATAATATGTTTTACGGAAAAGAGATTTTTCCAAACCAACATTATCTAGTCAGAGGAACACTATTTTACATTTTTACAAATCTCTTTAATTTCTGATTTTTTTTTTTTTTTTTTTTTTTTTTTTTTTTTTTTTTTTGGTTTTTCTCCGGTACCAGGAACCGAACTCACGACCTTGCGCTTGCCAGGCAGGCGCTTTTGCCGCTGAGCTAAATCTCCAGCCCCTAATTTCTGATTTAGTAGAAGGCAGCCAAACACTCTGTTTCTGCTTCAACTGCTGTGATGTCACACATCTTTCAGGCCCCCGTAGACTTGGGAGAGGTTGAGAGTGAGAAAGGAAAATAACATCTTCTGAGGAGAGTTCTAACTTTGTGGATCCCCTGAGAGGATCTCAGTTGCACTTCCTAAGGGTTTTAGAGACCCTCCCCAATGTGTTCCTAGACAACACTCTGAGAATCTTTGTCTGAACTTAAGAGTATGATTGTTTCTTTGGCACAGGACGTTGGCAGGAATGTGGAGGGGTGGATTTCAGAAGGAGCAATGTCCCAGCTACTGCTTTTAAATGAAAACCCCCCAGACAAGAACGGGCACATTCAGACGGTACTGCAACCCTCCTGAGTTGATATACAGTGGCCACAACCAGATATCTGGCCAGAAAGAAGTCACCCTCCCATGGCAGTCACCCACCCAGATGATGCGTCTTAAACCTAAGAAGAATTAGAAGAAGAGATGGACCTAGTGGTACCCAAATCCCAGCTGCCCAGAGTCCAACGGCTGTCTGTGTCAGACAGATGGTAGAACCTAGCTGGGGAGAAGAGATAAGTGGAGTCCTGCTCAGGTATCTGGCCAGGAGGCATCTGAGTCACAGCTTGAAATCACAATGGCTCTTTGGATGGCAGCTCTCCTAATAATATCAATGGTGATAATGATAATATACTGTGTTACTAATAATATAAGAACTACCACGTATTGAGCACTTTCAACCAGGCAGCATGCTGAGCATTTGATGTAAATCTTTTTATGAATATCTCAACTAACTCTTGGAGGTAACTAGTGTTCTAATTCTTTTCTTACAGGCAGAAAGAGTCAGAGTTATTGATCAAAATCGCAGTTTATATGGTGGTTGGACTGGAATCTGACATCAGGTGATTGTCAGCCACACCAGGTGGGTACACTGCTGACCAAGAACACCTCGCCATGCAAGGGCTGGAGGCGCAGACTTCTCTGCGGTGAAGGTACGAGGTGGTGGTTACACCACGGAGAACATTACTGCTTCTCATCGGAAGAAGCACGAGAACAAGAACATTTTCTTCTCACTAGAGTCAGCCTTCTGGAGGACTCAGAGCTACATTGTACTGGGGACATCACAAGACTTGGGACAAGCGGGGAGTAGAGGCACCAGCCCCCCATGCATGGCACCTACGGTTTCAGGTCCCCTGCTGGGATCCTCCCTGCCCACCTCTGCCCATGCAAGCCAGTAAGCAGGCATTTTTGCCACCAGCTGGGAAGTTTCATATTTGGCACCCCTACAGCCTCCCCATAAAAATGACAACCCTTCAAAGCTCTGACTTGGGGTCCTCTGGAACCCTGCCCCGGCAGACCATCTGGCACAAAGCCACCTCTATATCCTGCCCTTTCTGACCTCAGCCTCCCAGAGGTGCGAACTTCCCATAAACAAGCTCTATCCCCCATTCCCTGAAAAAATAAACAGGGTGACTGTGTGAGAATTCCATTCCGATGCATCCTCCCTTCTCCCCAAGCTGCGGCTCCAAGGAGTTCAGCTTTGCATGAGCTTTTCACTTGCGTGCGGACAAGCACAAAGCCCTAACCGGATATACCTGTTATTTCCCAATGACCTGAGAGCCCGAAGTTTATGTTAAGCCTTGGGTTATAGCAGAGCTTGCACGCAAGCCTCCAAGGCTCCCTCCCATAAGCGACTGCGAGGTGACTGCGGAGAGGACAGAGGAGCAGCTCTGAAGTGACAGCAGATAATTTAAATCCCCCTAAGCTTCCCAAGTATGCAGACTGTTCCTTTTTTGTCAGCATGTAACTTAAGTGATTTGTTCTACTCAGGCAAGAAATGCCTAATTTAAACCACATTTCAGCTAAGTCCTTCACGGAAGGAAGAGAACTCCCGCTGCTTAGCTAGTGTGTGCTCAGCCTGGGGGCAGCTGAGGCACAGCGGCCCCCTGGTCGTGCCTGGGGACAGACGCATAGGGGCGTGAGTTACCACACTCTCTTTTGTCTCATGTTCATCCCTCATGAATGGGTTTAATTTTGATAAGAATGTGTACAGGACAGTGTTGGCTAAGCCACCAATTTAGCAGCCTGGGTTTTAATCCCATCAGAGTGAGTGGGAGAATTCAGGTAAGTCTCTTCAGCTCCATTCCCTATGTTTTTTACCTTGAAAAAAAAAGAACAAGTCAGTGGCAAGGATGTGCAAATAGACACCTGGCAGTGGCAAGTATCTGGCTTAAGAGTGAGGTTCTGTGTTTCAACCCTTTTTTGCCCCTAACTACCAGTAGATGTGGGACAAAAAATTTCTCTCTGGGTGTCAGTTTCCTCATCTGTAAAACAGAACTTCAGCTCTATAAGGTGTAAGTCTTTAATCACTTACAAATTGACAAAATAACAATAGCATTATTATGACTATTATTATTGGTAGTATTACAGATTTCCTCCTATATTTCCAAAGATTTCATTAGTCATTCAAATCTGTCTGTTAAAATTCTTCTTCCAGGGCCTGGGAATTATACAGTCGCTCAATGGTGCAGCACTTGTGTCCTACGCACAAGGCCCTGGATTCAATCCCTCAAAACAGAACAAAATAAAATTCTTCTTTAAAAATACTTTCCCTCACTGACATGAAGCCAGGAGCATTGTACGACCCTGCAGTATGGGATTTTGTGTGAAGTTTCTGTGTCTGCCTTGCTCCCCACCGAACTGGCAGATTTCCTCCATACGTACACCGGAGTGCTAAGTGGTCTCTAAAGACAGTCCCTATTTCAAGGCTGTTCCTTAGTCAAAAATGTCTGCTGGGAAATTGCTTTTCGCTTTAATCTCCCTGCTTCACTGCGGAACTGGTTTCTTTTCCTCTAGGCTCCCTTGAGCACTTTGCATTATTATTCCACTGACTTCATGCGGTGTCATGTTATTTTTGCTTTTGTACCCATATATCTCTGCTCCGGAGACCCTCAGGGACTTGGTCATCTGGACAGCTCAGCCTCTCCTCCCTCCTTCCTTCCTTCCCTTTCCTTAGCAGCTGGTGTACATTCAGCATTCAGGAAAGAGCCAACTTGTTGAGCCCTCTGAAACTGTATCACAATGGGATAAGAACAAAGTTCACAACCTGTGGTGGGCAGCACTAACCCCAACCCCCAAGGGAGCCCCAAGAGGCTGATGATCAGAAGGAGGGACTAGGCTGGCGATAGAGAAAATTTGAAAAGCTTCTTCAGGAAAGGATCAAGCAAATTGGAACATTGATTATCTTGGTGAAAAATATGACATTGAAACAAGTAGTAGCTAAAGTAACTGCTTGAAGAATGTGTATTATCTCCCCAAAGATACTTGGAAGAAGAATTTATTTGTGTGGTGGTCCACAGGCAGTGGCCCATAGTAAAGAAAATTGTATGTTTCCCTTCTTCCAGCCTGACTGAGGATTGGGTGAGTATACTTACAGGGAAGAAGAGCACTATGAAAGAATCGGGAATCCACTCCACACCGGTGAAGTGTCCTTTTCTTTTTATTTGACATCAGCACACATGGGGCTGGGGATATAGCTCAATGGCACAAGTGCCTGCCTGGCAACCATGAGGTCATGAGTTCGATTCCCAGTACCATTAAAAAAAAAAAAAAAAAAAAAGAGATCAGCACAACTTCAACTTTAGGAAACATCCGCAGAGTAAGAGGGCAGTGAAGACAGAAGAGTTAAGCAAAATGCTTGAGAAACTAAGCGGATGAGATGCTCTGCTTGGTACCTCCCATGAGGATGGAGGCAGGCACTGCGCAAGGGAGGGGAAATGAATGGCACCTCAGGTCCTGGAAGGGAGAAGCAGCTCCACATTGACCTTTCCCCTCCTAGCCGGCTGGAATGTGGGCTTAAAGGAAAGGGAAGGGTCCAGTTTTCTTTGTTTGGCTTTGTTTTCTTCAACGAGGCATCTCAGAAATGTTAATGAACGTAGCAAAGCTGGCTTTCAAAGATAAGGAGGGCATAAGAAAGGCCAGGGTGACTGGAAGCTGGGAGCTGGAAAAGAGAACTTCTGGACCTCTGGAAGCGAGTGCCTGTTGGGGTGGACTGAATCATGTCAGATGGGTGGATCAGTGTAGGGAAATGAAAGTGCTACAAGAATAGCTTTAGGGAAACCGCAGGGGTGTGGGGTGGCTAGGAAGGGTGCACAGAGATAGCAATAGGGGTGGTGGGAAGGAGAAGGAAAGTCATCCTGAATTTCTGGCAGTTTGTGATGTGCGTAGGTGTCCTCCACCTCCGTTAGATAAGCATCTGCTTTATTCACACTGTAAAAATAGCGTGATTTTGCAAATTTTCACAAAACTTGCACTGATCAAAGGCTGCCAGGGTGTCCGTAGCTGGAGAAGTAGTGCTCCTCTGATTCCCCTAGGCTTGGGAGTACTTTAGGGGGTTTCAAGCCTTCCCTTGGAGATCTTGAACCTAGAGAAATCAGAGGAGAGAATATTTATTTCAAATATAACAGTCTTAATAAATTGCCCAGTAAGTTCAGGCTGCTGGCATAATTAATCTAGGAAATTCATGATTCCAGATGTCCACACCAAGTCCAAAGGGGACAGAAAGGCAGAGTGCCTGTAGGACAAGAGAATGAAGTTTGTATTTACACAAAAGCTCTATTCCTTGAGGCTACCTAAGAGGACATTCTTTTGTTTTTTTGTCTGCTTGTGTGACTTTCTGGTACAGGGTATCAAAATGTAGCTTAGGCTGGACTTGAACAACTCACTGTGTGAACCAGGCTGGCCTCGAACTTGCAGCAGTCCTCCTGCCCCAGCCTCCCGAGTGCTGATATTACAGGTATATGCCCCCCTTCCCTCCCTAGGACAATCTTAAAGACACAAAGGACTCCCTAACTTATCACCACATTCATAATATAACAAATCAGCTTGCCACAGTTCTAAATTGGCTAAGGTCCTCTTGACTCAGATTAAATTATATGCTAATTCCTGGTGGTGGTCTTAGATTTCAGACATTATTAAAAGAAAAATATGAAGAAAAACCAGGATGATTCATGACCTTGTTAGAGCAGCAACAGTTTCTAATTTCCACTCATCTTCTGTGTCATGTGATATGTTTCAGAAACCCACTTAAAATTGAGAAAATAAGCCATTCTTAATTGTACTGAAGTAAGGAAATAGCTCATTTATGAATCTAAGAAGATTAAAGAATATGGCTTTAGTATGTTTATTTAGAATCTATGCCAAATTTTTTTTCAGAGGCACAAGTCTGTTTTTTCTTTTTCTCTTAAAAAACTTTAATAAAGCCAAATATTTAAAAAAAAAAAAAAAAAGTGTGTGTTGTCACATGCTATCAGAACACTTAGAAATCTTGACCAGTAACTCCCCTCTACTTTGAGCATGGTGATTTATACTGTTTGTACCTTTGGGAAAGATATTTTTAAAGGAGCACATCTCTTTGTTATTAGAGTTCAGTATTATTTAATACATTAATAAAATTGAGACTATTCTCCAACTAGTTGTTTAGGTTTCCATAAAATTTAATTTCCACAACTTAGCTTAAGAGATCTTTGCGAAATGAAATTCCAGCTGGGCATAGTGGTTTAAACTGCAGTTCCAGCACTCTGGAGGATTGTAGGATGGAGGCAGGAGGATTGGAAGTTGGAGTCCAGCCAGAGCAACTTAGTGAGAATCTGTCTTTAAAGAAGAAGAAAAAAAAAAGAGAAGGAAAAGAAGGAGAAATTTTGTATGTATGTATATACAGGGTAGTTAACATGGTTGTTCTTCTGTCTTCTATTTCTATGCTGAAAGAAACTGTCAATGAGTCTTTGGTTGACCAGTATTGCATGTCTAAATCTGTTTTCATGAGAAACCACTTTGAAGATATCAATATGTAATACAACAACCATTATTAATTCCCTACCACTTTGTTTGTAACTCTGTATTGTCTGTACTGTGCTTGTGATGTTGTAAAATGTTGTATGTCTGTTAATGTTTCCCTCCTTTTATCTTTAAAATAAAAAAAAGAAGAAGAAGAAGAAAAAGAAAAAAAGCCTGGTGATATGGCTCGGTGTGAAGTCCTTGGATTCAATCCCTAGTACAAAGGAAGGAAGGAAGGAAGGAAAGAAGGAAGGAAGGAAAGAAGGAAGGAAGGGAAGGAGGAAGGGAGGGAGGGAAGGAAGGAGGGAGGGGAAGAAAGAAAATAAATTTCAAAAAACTCTTTAATGTGTTCTCAGTGGATTTGTAATAGTCTCACCCCCTTTCTTCAGCCCACATGAGTTAGATCCTCCTTTCTCAACTACTTTCCAGCTAACATGACCTTCTTGCAACAGAGTGTTTTCTTGCCTCAGTCGGGGCTTGCTGTTCTCTTGTTGCCAGGAAGTTCTTCCCTGATGGCTGCCACATCATGTATTTTCTCTCCAAGCAGTGCTCCTTACCCTTCCTTTCTAGCACAGTGCCCTATCCCCACCCCACTGTTCTCTGTCCTATCACTGGCTCCCTCCTTTCTACCTAGCATGCATCACTGTGCGCTCATCTTGTTTCTTGGTTAGTTTATATGGGTTATGGCTTAGATGTGGTTGTGAGTGTATTCCCAAGGTTCATGTGTCAGAAGCTTAGTTCCCAGCAGGACAGTACTAAGTGGCAGAATCTTTAAGGAGAATCACTGGGAGGTGATTGGTTGATTGGGAACATTGTCCCTTGAAGTGATTAGTGTAATTCTTATGGAACCCTTGATTATTCCAAGACTAGTATGCCACCAAAGAGGAAGACTGGCCTTCTGTCTCACCATGAGTTCACTTCTACATACAATCCTGCCATTGTGATGCCACCTATCATGAGGTCTTCATCTGAGCTGAGTAGAAGGCAGCACCATGCTATTGATCCTCCAGCACTGTGAGCTAAGTAAACCTCTTTTCCTTAAGCCTCAAGTATTTTCTTACAGCAATACAAAATGGATTGATACAATTTCTTTCTATAACCAGATTTTAAGTTCGTCTATGACAGAGACTTTATCTATTTTGCTCACCATTCTCTTTCCTCAGTGCCTGGCACATAGTAGCAGTTTGATAATTACATATTGAGAGTAGATGGATGATATGGCATTGTTCTGCATCTGTTTTTCTTAATAATTTAGTGTTGATTTTATGTGTCAATTACTGAGCAAGAGAGAAATTCTAGAGAAGCTGGGCAAATGAGTAAGGTGTTAATCATTAGCTGTGTAGACTCTACCGTGGTAAAAGGAAAGGCAGAGAAAATTGTGTGTGTGTGTGTGTGTGTGTGTGTGTGTGTATGTGTGTATCCTGAGTTGCAGATAGATAGATAAGGTTGTTACTCTTTATGGCTTCTAATTTTCTTTTACAGTATGAATCCAGCATACCAGCTGAGCATATTAGAAAGGAAGGGATATGGTAGAGGTTAAGAGAAATAAAAAGTTTTACAAAAATCATCTTTAAAAAGTAAAGACAGTATATTATACAGAGACCCATGGTAGGAGGACAGTATTCAGTTTCTGTTTGAGCTTTCTCACTATGTTGTTTTTTTTGTTTGTTTGTTTTTGTTTTTCTCTGGTACCAGGAATCGAACTCACGACCTTGCACTTGCCAGGTAGGCGTTGTGCCGCTGAGCTAAATCCTCAGCCCCCGAGCTTTCTCACTATGAATTTGAAGCATGACGGCTATATTTGGAGATTTTTTTCCAATACTTGAAGTGGGAATGTAAATTACTACCACTTTTCTACAGAGAAATATTTTCTGACCCTATAATCTCATCCTAGGAAGTTATCCTACAGATAGCCAGACAAGATTAAGAAGATGTTATACAAAGATGTTCAACAAGTGGCTGGGGATTTAGCTCAGCAGCACAGTGCCTGCTTGGCAAGCGCAAGGTTGTGAGTTCAGTTCCCAGTACCGGAAAAAAATAAAAAATAAAAAAAATACAGTCAACAAGTATTTGTAATTGATAGCAAACAGTTGAAAAGGACCTAAATATTTAGCAATAAGGGACTGAATAAATTTTTGAGATATCCATACAATGGGATGTTTTGCAACTGTTGGAGACTGTGTGTCAATAGTCATGGATAAACATGGATGGCCAGATGTTATTGAATAAGGGAGAATATAATTTTCAAAGTAGCACATGGAGTGAATAAAAGATAATAATGAATAACAATGCACTGCTAGTCTTTCTATAGCAGTTTCTTATCTGTTCTTATTAGTTCTTTAAAAAAGACTGAGGAGAAATACGCAGCAAACACTATAGTTAGCCAATTATTACTTACATTTATATATTTTAGCACCAATAAAGACATGGAAGAATGTCCACCAAAATGTCAAGGAGATTCTCTCTCACTCTTTTCTCTCTGTATTTTTGGAAATGGTTGAAATGTTCCACAATAAGCATTTGAAAAAAGAGAAAAAAGAAAAAACTTTATCAATGTGTGTTCTTTCTCTCTCCTTTTGTTTATTCTCCTCCATATCCACTGACTCTGTTAGCCTTTCGGAATTGCTAGTGTTCTGGGGAGTCCAAAGATCAGGTAACAGGTTTACTGTTGGGTAATGCTGAGGCCTCTCCCAGCAGTTGTGGAATTAGAAGAGAGAATGCATCTTCATTATGCCTTGGTGGGGTAAGTGTCAGGGTCTTCCTGTGTAAAGGTCTACCTCCTGATTTGTTGATTTCCTCTCCAGTGAATGTTGCTACTTTCTTATAGATGGAAAAAAATACTCAGTACCCACAAGTTAAAGGAGGAAAGGTTTATTTTAGCTCATAATTTATAGAGGTTTCAGTCCACAGCCAGGTGGCTCTAAGGCAGGGTGGAATGGCAGACAGTCATGGCAGAGAAGAAACAGTGCATGGCATGGCAGACAGAAGGCGCCAACCCTTCCTTCTTTCCCTTTTTATTCTATCCTGGCTATAAGTTTATTGGTTGGTGCCACCTACACTGAAGGTGAATCATCTCTGTTCAGTAAATCTATCACCCACACCCAGAACTACGCTAAACCAATCAATTGAGTAATTCAATACCACACACCCATAATCTAGTCACTCCTAAAAGCCCCATCTATGAGTGTATGAAGCTTTAGGGGGCCATCTAGATATAAGCCCTAACAGTGAGCCTGAAGTTTGTGAGGTGATTTACACTTGAAAATCTCTTTTGATCTTCACAATAGCTTTTAAAAGTAGTAATTATTATTTCTATTTTACTGAGAAAAATGAGTCACAGTGCAATTACAGTGTCTGTATAATGAAAATCTCACATGATGAAGGATGCAGTTGTGCCTTCAGCAGCCAGTCCTGCTGGCAGCCAGCTTGAGTGATGGGACAATGGCTCTGCCCTGAGCGGGTCTGACACATACTGTGGCACACAGTGTCCTCTGAAGACCTGCAGTTGGTTCCTAATCTGCAGAACCAGGTAGCCGTGATGTCGGCTGTGTATTTCTCTCAGGTTGTTGCCCAGCGCTGATGAGATAACTGACGAGAAAGTGCCGTGGAACTGTGACGGGCCATCAGTGTGTTGCTACCCATTATTGTCCGTTATTTGTCCCTATTCTGTCTTTTCCTCACCTCTGGGCTGAAGCTATGTCACATTTTCTTTCTCCCTGACTTTATTCTTGGGTCATTGGCTCAGAGAAAAAAAATGAGAAAATGTAGTGAAGAAATCAAAAAAAGGAAGATTCTGTGCTTTTTTTTCCAACAGATGTACAATTTTCAGTTGGTCCTGTCAGGAGCAAGGATATCCCGTCTCCTAAGGTGGCAGCCCCTCACCCAGGCCGGCCTTCGAGTAGGCCTTGTCTATAAGCCCAGAACAATAAGGCTGTGAAGGACTCTTTTCCCCTGAGACATGGAGATGTGGAGTGAGAAACCACAGGCCCTCGGATTATTTTGGGAGTTTAAACTGCTGGGGGTTAGGGAATGCTGTCTCAGCATTTCATAGCAGCAACAGAAATTATAAGGAAAAAGAGAAGTTGAATCCCAGGAGAAAATCTGAGGGAGAGTCAGAAGAACACAAAAAACAACAGAATATTTTTTGGACTTTTCTGAGGAGAACATTTCTCCCCTGTGAAGCTAGGAAGCATGTCTTTAAAGAGTGTGTGTGGTCACATAGCTGAAAAGCTACCAATTACCTCCCCACCTCCGGATGGTTTTAAATAGTAGAGAGAAGAGCAAATTAAGGCTCCACAGGCCACCCAGCCCTCCCTGTGTTCAGGTCAGCTTTTCCTTTCAGGGAGCACTCTGTAGGCTGGTCCACAAGCCCTCTAGGAGAGGTGCCTATCTCCCTAAATGCTGAGGTGAGCCCTGCCTCCTCTTCTTTATAAGATGCTCTGAACCATTCCGAAATTCTACAGGGAATCCAGGCAAACAGTAGGCCACAACTGAGCAGAGAGATGAAAATCAATAGAGCCCCAGAGGAGCAGAAAATGGCCCTTGTTCCCAGAAACACTCACAACACAGAGAATTCAGTAGTTCTGTACTTCCCCGCTATCCTCCCACTCCCAGTAAAATACCAGGGCCCAATTAGAAATCTAATCATTTTTATTTACACCTTTAGCCACAGTTATGAGCAAGTATGTTCATGGGTTGTTGTATGCTGGAAATGTCTGCTTAGATACATGAGAACACAGAGAAACGTGCATAATACCTCCTTAATCTAACAGGTTAACAGTACATCTTTAACATAAATAAAACAGTACATGGAGCAGGATTCTAATACTGCAACACTAAATAAGGACTTCTCAACCTGCCAAGTTCAAAAGCCAGAGTGTCAAATGACAATGTTGAATATTTCCCTTGGTGGAAATGGGATTGTCTCCCGTTTCTTCTTTGCACATTTCTATGTTTTCTGATTCTTTCATGCTAACAGTGATCATATGTTTTGACCGTATCCTGAGAAACCATGAGAAAAATTTTGCCAGATGAGTGGTTCCACAATTGTGAATTCTTCTCCACAAATTTACATCCATACTCACTCAGAGTATGGACACATGGTGGCTGGGTGGTGTGTGCGTACCACTGTTCACACGAGACCTTCTTCGGGTCAGACCAAACTTTCCTCTAACCCTAACCCTAACCCTAACCCTAACCCTAACCCTAACCCTAACCCTAACCCTAACCCTAACCCTAACTCTCTTCTGCTGGCTCTTCTTTCTCTCATGGGCCGGCTACTTCTCACAAAGCTGCCTTCATCTAATTGTTCCAAGTCAGCTTTGCAACCAGCTTCCAAGTTTTCCCTCATCACGGCCTCCCCAGCATAAGTGGAGATTCAGAAATGCCTTCATATAGATTAAGTACATAATGTACAGAGAAGGACTCCTCTTTGTAATAAAGAGAGAGAGGGAGAGAAAAAGAGAGAGAGAGAGGGAGGGGGAAAAGGGAGAGGGACAGGGAGAAGGAAAGGGAGAGAGAGAAACAGAAAAGACATCTAACTTGTGTGTCGAAGCTCAAGGGCACGCCCTCCATCCCCTCAAAGATACTCTCTGCCTGTGGTGAGCTCTCCAATCTGGTGTAAATTCAGACCTCATTGCTGGAGAGACGGTCGTGTGTGGTACCTCCACCTTGTCCTGAGAAATGCTGCCAAGTAGTTGCTCTCTGCTCAGCATGGATGGGACCACCAGACACTCTGCCTTTGATTTCCCTGTAAAGAGGGGCGCAGGCAGTGCTGACTTCCATGGTTTGCTGACCTTCAGCTTTGCTCAGATGCCTTTTACACAAAGGCTCACTCATGGTTGCCACATTCTGTAGAACTTAGGACACCACCAGAGAGCTGGGGGGGGGGGCCTAAAACTGATGAGCACCAGGGATCCCATGCAAGGAGCACCCATGCGCTGCTGGCACTGAGACCGAAGTTTTCTGGTTCCCACTTCACGGTCAGAGGTTAGGATTTCTTATGATATAATTGCACCTTTCCTCAAAGGACCTGGCCGGCTTTGCCTCTAAAACTTTTTAGAAAGCAGGTTAAACAGGCCAGTGTACTAGGCTTCAGTGGGAAGGTTTATATTCTCCCGTACTCTTGTCCTTTGTGTCTGGTAGAACTTTTCCTATTCTGTTGTTATTCTTTGTTAAAGCTGGTGCATTCTCAGTGGCCAGGGACTTGTCTTTGGGAGCTTTCTGACTATCACCACATGCCTGTTAATAATAATCTGTGTTTGTTTAACAAGCACCATTCAATTCTGATATGAATAACAGATGTTTAAAGCTAGGTACAGCTGGTGATGATTTAGTGACAAGGGTCACCTCAGTGTTTTAGAGTAGAAGGAGAGCCTGAATACTGCCAGATGTCGCCAAGCTAGGAAAAAAAAAAAAACAAAGACAAATGTAAGTACGTCTTGGAGAGGCCCCTGGAAAATGTATATGCACACATACGCACACACAGGGAAAGGTCCTTTCTCTTTTCAAATGTCACCCTGTCATCAACTCCCCAGACCCTGTGGCTCATCCTCATGGTTGTGACTTTACCCAGTTCTTCATACGCTCAGAGCAAGCATATTTTCTTAACCAACACTCAGGATTCATTAGTTGGCTACAGGTCAGAAATTAAGAATGCCCTGAAAGGAGCCGGGGATTTAGCTCAGTGGCGCAACAACTGCCTGGCTATCGTGAGGTCCTAAGTTTGATTCCTTGTACCAAAAACAACAACAACAAAAATAATGCCCTGAAAAAGTTGGGGGGAATTGTCTGCTGAATGGTAAGATAACAGCAGCGTTCCCCACAGCCCACAAATGGTCAGCTCTATTAAATGACTTACCCTAGGTCACAAGGGGAGGTCCAGCCTTGCTCAGCGGGGCCAATGGTTCCTCCATTCCAGATCTTCTAGCGCAGCACATCTCTTCTGATTTCTTACTCCTTGACCTTCCTCCAGTTGGAATGTATGTTCATGCTGAGTCCCTTCAGGCAGAAAAAGGAGATTCCTACTACTGCTTTCTCCACATCCTACTCTTGAATTCACTCCAGTAGGAAGCTTCTCTTGGTGTGGTTATTCATATGGGACCTTCTTCTGGTCAGGCCAGACTTTCTTCCATCTCTCCTATTGGCTCTTCCTTCTGTCATGATCCAACTAACTTCTCACAAGCCACTGTTTCATCTTCTAATTGTTCCAAGTCTGACAAGGGCTTTGCAACCACCTTTCCAGTTTTTCCTCACCGTGGCTGCCCTAGCCTAAGTGGAGATTCAGAAATGCCTCTGTAGCGATTAAATGCTTAATGTGTGGAGAATAATGCCTCTTTGCAATAAAGAGAAAGAGGTAGAGAGACGAGACATTTAAGCCATTTCTTTGGCAAAAGCTGACCTTACAAATGATCAGTGGGCAGGGACAAATGGGCAAAGGTCCTGTCCCAAGGCCATTATCCCTTGGAAAGTGCAGTTTTTCTATTTTCCATTTAGAGCCTGTGCAGCACACAGCCCTGGCCTCCATTCTCAGCACCACCACCAAAACAAAAACAAAAAAAACCCCACCATGATCCTGCAGAATGACTGAAGAAGTAAATTGAAGTTTTGTTTTGTTTTTTTTTAAGTTAACAAATAACTGGCCAAAATTCCCTTTCCTTCCCCTATGGCATCCCCACCCTGCATCAAGAAGATTGCTAACTTGCAACCCATGGAGTAATTACTGCCTGGAAGGAATGCACTTGTGCCCTCTGCTCCTGACTTACTGCCCACTTCATAGATCAGCACCCTGCTCTTCCCTTTTTACATGCTTCCCCTTCCTTCTCTTTGGAAAGAATGTAGTGTTTGATGGGCATGCTGTCTGGCACCTGATGTTCTAATTATAGCTCCATTACTGTCAATCGTGTGATGTGGTTAATCTTCCTCACTCTCTTTGAGACACAAGTTTCTTCATTCATAAGATAAAGAGTGTGTCAGGCAGTCTATAGTTTTTAAAAATTATTTTACTTTATTTTATTTTATTTTATTTTGGTACTAGGAATCAAACTCAGGACCTTGCGCTTGCTAGGCTGGCACTTGTGTCACTGATCTATATCCCCAGCCCTAAATTTTTTTATTTTAAAGAGAACAAAAAAACAAAAATGATACAGAATTTTAAAACAAAATGATAGGAAATAACGGTTTTATATTGCCTATTGTTACCTTCAGAGTAGTTGCTCAGATTGCCAGATATAGGCATGCAAAATTGGTCAAACAATATAAGCACTAACTGTTCCTTTCAGTGAACTAATTCAGCTTTAACATTTTGTGATTCTGCATACTCAGACTTTGTTCCTTAGTGTCTGTCTCTTGTATAGTTTTTGCACCTTAAGTATTACATGTCATTGTAGAATGAACAAATTTATCTTTCAGGAATCTGAATCTTTAGCAGAAGGTATAGGGAGAGCCAAACGGGTGAAGGGTAGGGTAGGAAGCTCCCCAGAACTATTTCTTACACCTTTTTCTCGAATCATCGTCTCTCCGGCAGTCAACTTTCTTCCTCCTGGGGCCTGTTCTCTTCCATTTGTTTAGTATTCTTTACAGAACTTACTTTTGAGAGAAACTGCCCTCCAAATTGTTTTTAAATCCACCCTCAAAATATACCTTACCCTTTTAAGAAGTTTTCGCATGGAAAGGTTTTTCTCAAGAGTAGCCAGGCATTGTGCAAATTCGCTCTGTTTTGCAAATCAAAGCCACTATAAGAAGAGACAAGTTTATTGTGTCATCTAGTTCTTCATATCAGTTTGCTTTTCTGAGTGCTTTCGATTTAACCAGATGTTTTCTCAGAAATTGGAATGTCACCATGTGAAGGGCTTGGAATTAAAGATTAACAAAAATCTTTTCCTCTTTTGCATGATCATTTGATTTTCAGCTACTTTCCTGGCTCTGTTCCTCTGGAAACCTATAAAAGAAAGTAAAAACGGCCCTCAATCAGTAGGTCCTATCTTGTTTGGGACAACTACACCTATCAGGTAGAAAGTCCTATTGTTAGGTTTTCTGAAGTGCAGTGACCCTTGTGACTGACACAGTCCTGTGGGGTTCATGAAAACTATGCCCACGAAACACCTCCAAAAGATATTAGCTGCTGTGGAGTATGGGGTTTCCAGTGTAAGGTTATGTGTTAGTCAGCTTTTTGTTGCTGTCATAAAATACCTGAGAGAATCAACATAGGAGGAAAGGTTTATCTTGGCTCACAGTTTCAGAGGTTTCAGTTCACACACAGTCAGCTGTGTCACTTTTGGGCCTGTAGTATGGCGGGGAGCACGTGGTAGAAGACACCTTGTCACCTCCTGGCAGCTGGGAAGCAAATGAGAGAGGAAGAGACAGGCATCCAATGTGTCCTCCGAGGGCACATCCTCAGTGACCTCGCTTCCTTCCACCAGGCTGCACCTCCTAAAGTTTCCTCCACCTCCGGATAGTGCCATAAGCTGGAGACCACCCCTTTAACATAGCTCTTGGGGAACAGTCCAGACCCAAACTGTAGCAGATGGCTCCCACAGCTGCTGGCATGCACTGCATCCTCGACTAGGCATGTTTCTTAGTGAACAGGAGCCCAGAGAGGGCCTTGGCAACCTGGTGAGTCAGCATGTCTAACGGAGCCTTACAAGGAGACCTCCTGAAGGGCTTTGTGAGTGGGGGTTTTGACTTTCAGTGGTTCGAACAAGAACATTCGTTTGTGAAGCTATGGGTATAAGAGCAGTCCAGGCACTTTTAAAATTTTGTTACCAGTTTGTTGTTGTTTTTTTTAAAAACAAATTTTAAAATAACTGTGAAATAAAAATTCATGTCTCTTTTGAAGATATTATACAAAGTGAAATAAACCAGTAAAAAAGATAAATATTTTTCTTTCCTACTTAATATGAGTTACCTATAGTTGTAGTAGTCAATTTGTAGACACAAAAAGTGGCGACCAGAGACTGGGGGAGAAGGGGTTGGGGACCTGTTATATAATGGGTACAGAGTTTCCGATTTATAAGATAAAAAAAAAATCTGGAGGTTATGTTACACAAAAATTCTAGAAACCAAGAGACTTCAAATAATAAAATTTGTTCAGTCATAAAAAGTGTCATTAGAAGAATAAGTAAATCCTGGGACAAGTCCCCTAAGCCACCAGCAGCATGGCTAGATAGCAGTTAGAAAAACATCTGCTGAACTTTAGAAACCAAGTATTTTATAATCCAAATCTATAGAGAAGAAAGCATAAATGCTTACATTGTGTCTACACGTTCTGTGGGTGAAAGGGGCAGTACAGTGTGACTGGGAAAAGCTCTGAGATAACAGGATGGACTACAAGTACTTATTGCTGCTTGATGGTCTGTGTTGTAAGCAAAATGTGTTAGTGCCTTGGTGATCATACTCCTCAGGTTCTAAGTCAAGCGTTCAACATAGGGGCTGGGGATTTAGCTCAGCAGCACAGTGCCTGCCTGGCAAGTGCAAAGTCATGAGTTCGGTTCCTGGTACCGGAAAAAAAACAAAAAAAGAAAGAGTTCAACATACACTAGGGAATATGAAACAGTTCTTTTTTGTTCTTGTCTTATTTTCTTGATTTGGCCCAAAGTAATTAACTGACTAGCTTCTCTAATTTCTCTTCTCTTGCATCCTCCAGCCCACAATTAAATTTAGGATATATCAGAATTTTTCTCTTACTAGTTCCACAACAATGTGAATATATTTATCACTATTGAACTGCACAATTATTTTTTTAAAAAAACCTATAGATTTCTAAAATCTTTAAGGTAGCAAATTTTACTCTATGTGTATTTTGCCAAAATTAATTATGACAAGTTCCTGTAACTATCACGCTTCAATCGGGTCTTCCATACTAGTGCAAAGATCACTATAAGTATTATAGGAGGATTTTGACCCTTCTTCAATTGACAGTTTTAGCCATCAGTCACCTCTAGTTCCCTTGAGTTTGGTTATCATGTCTGTTATTAACCCAAGAATGCCTTCTAGGGGCCAGCCGTGGAACTACTAGCTACGCAGAGAAGCGAGTACTACTGGATTTCCTCTTACTGCTTGCACAGAAAGAGTAATTGTAAAAAGAAGCAAGAATTCTAAGCACCATTCTTTTTCATCATCCTTCCACTCAGTATAGTTCTAAAATCTTGCTTCTATTACAAAAAATCTCCTAATATTTGCAGTACTAGGGGCTTCGACAAATAATCTTGTTATAGGCTTAAAACACTAACATCTTGCTGAAAAAATTTTCAGTGCTTAATCCTTTGTTGTTCTTTAAAAGTAACACAACATTTCCCTTGCTGATAAGGCTAAAACTCTTGCAGACAGTCTTGTACTCACTTAGGAATGGAACGGAGTAGTTTGGAAGAGTGAGTGAATGCCTTCGCTTTTCGTACCTTTGCCATAAGACTGCACTACAGAATCTCAAGGCCACAAAACACTGGAACTTTAGGAGCTTTAGAGATCAGCTAGTTCAGAGACCACGTAGAGAACAGTAGTTTTTGATCACTGTAGGGTCACAGGTCCCTTTGCAACAGTGATACAGATTAGAGGCTTTGGTCTCATAAAATGCTATTGTAAATAATGGTTTGAATATACAGTAATTTTTTTAAGTTCATGGATACGTTACCCTCCACCCTGCAGATCATCATAGATCATAGAATGCCTGCTTTAATCCCGCCCAATAATTTGGGAGTGAGTTTCCTGAGAAATATCATATGTGACAAAGCGGCTGAGCAGAGCAGGCTCAAAGTCAGGCTGGATGCTGGAGGGAGATATGACCCCACACACCATCTAACTCTATGTTGGAGCCAGCAGTGGCCAAATGTTCTCCAGAGGAGCATGCTGGGTAAGAGAGCAAAGAACTGACCAGTGGAGGTCCAGGTCTCCCGGACAACCTGCTCAGAATGGAAAGGAAGAATTGTCTTATTGGCTGGTGTGGGGAGGAGGTGTGCTGCCTTTCCTTGTCCATAATAAGAGTTGAGGCTGACACTCTTATAACAAAAGATGAATTAATAAGAGAAAAGCATAACAAATTTTAATCAAGCTGTACACAACATGCAAATCTGAAATGAAGACCAAATGGGATGGAAAGCCATGTAGAAATGTGATTGAAAGGATATGATTTAATGGTAATATATTACGTGAGAGAAATTCAGCAAGGTGTGTATGTTCATATTCTTCTTGGCCTCTCTGTGGGCTCCTTTCCTCCTGGATATGGAGCAACATTGCTTCTGGAATGAAAGCCTTGCCCTATGATCTACTATCAGAGATAGGTCAGAGAATTTTTTTTATAGCCAGGTGTTTCATGGAAAATCAAGAAAGGTTCAAATACCATCTCTAGGTTTTATGGCCAGGTTTGGGTGAGAGGAACTCAAGTTCCTACGGCCGGCTTTGGAGGGAGAAAGAGGAATAGGAGGAAAGAAGGGTAGAGACAAGGTTAGAAAAAGACTTTACCTCTGAGGCCCTTCCAGCATCTTTTCAGTCAAAGTACCAGCATGCCAAAGTGCCACATTTTGGGGATTGCTCTCCGAACCCTAGCCCTGAAGATGGAGAAATGTCTGGCAATGCATGGATGGCTCAAAGAACATGAGTAACGATATAGGAGTTGAATAGGGGTGGAGTCGGGGAGAGTTTGGCGGCAG